GTTGAAATACTACTGTCACTTTCAAAGTGTTGAAATACTACTGTCACTTTCAAAGTGTTGAAATACTACTGTCACTTTGAAACTGTTGAAATACTACTGTCACTTTCAAGCTGTTGAAATACTACTGTCACTTTCAAGCTGTTGAAATACTACTGTCACTTTCAAAGTGTTGAAATACTACTGTCACTTTGAAACTGTTGAAATACTACTGTCACTTTGAAACTGTTGAAATACTACTGTCACTTTCAAAGTGTTGAAACACTACTGTCACTTTCTATCCTAAAAACTGTACTTGTTAATCAATTATTCTCGCCTACCTTTATATCATTATTTTTTGTTCCAATATACACCACAAAAACAATCATATATTGCTCCTGATACAAGAATGTCAACTTATTAATAACTTCATGATTTTTGGTCTGGTGAGTGATAAATTCAGATTGTAGAATTCACAGGTACAACAACTGGGGGTTGGAGACTGTTAATCCAAATAGTGCAGCTATTGAGATATTTTAGCCATGCTCGTATTTTTATGTATTCTACTAAAATAGAATACATATGCTTACTAAGTAGAAAATCCTTTAAAAGAAATACACTGTGTTTTCCCTTATTATGGGTTTCAGTACTTACTGTGGGCACAACACGGACAGCCCTCTGTGTAGCTTCATGCTTAACAACAAACAAGCAGGCAGATTCCCTCATTAACAACGAATGGCTCCGAATTATTTAAAATATTATTAATAGCAACTAACTAGGCCTATTGCTTTACATTTCCTTTGTAAATCCACTATTATCCTGTTTTATATCAAGAACCATCTTAACTTTATGTTATTGTCTTTATCTTTCTAGTGATATTGGTATAGACATAAATATTCAATTAGTTAAGTTTGCTGATTAAATTAAACTCTTGGGTATTTCTAGCTGTACTGAGGGTGTTTGGCTTGAAATACGAGGGTCAAGAATTCAAAACCCCATTGCTGAATATGCTTGTCCTATGAGATTGCCAACTGGCTGTCCACCCAGGTGTAAGAATCCTTCGCTTACAAAATACCGGCTGAATTCAAACAAGTTTGGATCAAGGTTGTGTAGAAAAAATACAAACTAGCTGAGAATGTTTAAGTATTACAAAATAAGTTGATAAAACCATCGAGGGTGTGCTCTGCTGTTAATGGGAAAGCTAGAAGAACTTTAGCGTATGCTTATAGTAATCCTGATTACAATTAAGTCAAAAAAGGTGTTGGATCTGTTTCTAAGAAAGGATATTGAATTAATGGAAGCATTCAGAGTGGGGTTACTCAGATTATTTCAGGGATGGAATGAGGATAGATTATCTTAATTTTATTGACTTGCCACTGGCAGAATTGGAAGCCAACACTTCAGAAGAACTTAAGAGGGGGGAATCAATGGGTTGATGAAAATAAAAAAATGGATGAAATTTTAACTTTTCTCAAAGTAGTCCCTTTTGTCTGTATATTATGCTATCATCATCCTTTCAGAGCTCAATCCTTATTTAAACACTTTGTTAGCTCACCCACAATATAACTGAAAATAAATCCTTGCTGTGAATTTTAACTTTATCAACTGACTGTTTCTCATAATCCCTTTGGATTCAGTTCCTTGTGTCTTTGTTTTTTTAACCAAATTTCTAGCTTTCATAATTTTGTAAATTGTACAAGTTATGTGACAGTTTTAACATGTTAAATTTATATATATTATTCCACGTTTTAATCTTTTTGATTTCTCCTGTTATCCTTTTTGTTTATGTACACAAGTGTCTTGAATTAAAAGCAATTTATTTTCAGTAATTTTGTGTTTCTGTCACACATCATGCAACTTTCAAAAAATATTGTCCTTATTCAATAACTATAAATCTTGCTTCATGGCCTCAAATTCAGGAAAAAACTTTTTATTTTGACATGTAGCAAAACATCAAACCTAATTATGTAATGATGACTCTTCCTTAGTTGTTTCTCTACGTCAACTCTTGCAACAAAACTAAAATGGTGATCATTTAGTAGAGAAAAATTTGAATCACTTCCAGAAACCCCCCTCACTTTTTGACTCCATATAATTCCAATCAGTTTCCTTGATTATTGCATCAGAATTCTGATTAGTGATAACTTTGACCTAACTGTACACTTTTTCATCGACTTCCTTCTGCCTGTCATTCCAATTATACAGGCTATATGCTGCTTGTCTCTTGTGTGTCCTGCTCCTCTTTTAACAAGCCTGTCACTATTAAATAACTTATAACCTGAAATTAACCCTGTTATCAATGTTCTAATCTAATTAGGTTTCAATGACTCCCAGTATATCAAATTCTTCCATTTCAACAACAGCTGTCCAAACGTATCCATTTTGTTTGTAAAACTCAATCCCAACATATAGTAGTAACTAAGCTTATGCATGAACCTACTGTGTTTATCTTTAAAAATGTTATTTAATTTATTATGTTCTAAATGTATTTAATTTTTCTAAACTCTCCATTGCTCTGGCTATACTATCAGTTTGTTTATTCCCTAGCTTCTTCCTCACTATATATATATAATAGTAACCATGTTTACTCAGCCCAAGTAAATAAAATTTGATTTATAAAATATATTTTTTCTTATTTTTATACTGATAGTGAGTTTTTGGTCTCTGATATATTTTTTAAAGGTCAGGAATGAGAATATGATGACAAATGTAAAGTTTATGATAATTATAAAGTCATGTGAACCTGTCAATTTTAGAATTATTTCTGGCCTTCAATTTAACTTGTTATAACATTAGCTGCAGCAACCAGTCTTTAACAACAAATATGTTAATATTATATTTTAAAAAACTAACACGTTCTTACACAGTTATTGCAAGTATAGTTGTACTACATAATATGGATATCGCCATTTTCTTTCTAGCCTCTTCCCTCTAACTTGACATCTGTAACGTTTAATGTAAAAGAGGTTTAACTTGATGATAGACATAAAGGATCATTTTCTCTTAAACATTTGATTAGTTTAACATCTACCACAACCCTTTTCATAGGCACGACTGCTATCAAACTTTACAATACACGTTTTCTGTAAATATTAAGATATTTTCTGTCTGGTAATAATTAATTACTGACAATGATATGGGTGTACGCTGTAAAACTCCGAATAGGCCTACTTCAGTACTTGTAAAATTTGTAGGAGCATCAGATATTATAAACTGAAGAAATACGAATATAATGACATTCTGATGGATGCATATCATAAACCCTTGTAGTAAATTTATGTTTGTTTTCAAAATAAATTGTATTAACTAACATAGCCTAGTCTTCTGAGGGTAAGGTCTAATCTGATTAACTTGTCTAGATGATAATTCTCATGAAGTTACACAATACGCTAGAAGTAGTACTAGGAAGTTCGAACAGAACCAGGACACACTAATTACTGTTAGAGGCAGTAGACTTCTGCCGATAGGGGACAGAGATTGCAAAAGAGTCTTCACTATTTAAATAAATGAAAAATTAACTTGATTAAGAAGTTTGAAGAAAGAAACCTTTAGAAACAAATTACTATAACTTCAAAGCTAACGAAGAAAACTCGTACAAAGCTGACAAGGAAAAAGATCGGGTACAGAACTTTTGCTTTGTTTATTTGTAGAATTCCGCGAAAGCTACACGATGGCTATTTTTAACTTCGAATTAATAGACTTAGAGTGAAGTCAGCTAGTCAATGCCGCTCTATAGACTTGTAGGATGCTGTATCTAATAGCAGGATTTGACCGTCACTCTCATAACGCCCCAAAGTGCGGAGTGCGATTTTTTATTTTTGGTGATAAAAGAGACGGAATAATGGTTTGTTTGTTTTTGAATTTCGCGCAAAGCTACACGAGGGCTATCTGCGCTAGCCGTCCCTAATTTAGCAGTGTAAGACTAGAGGGAAGGCAACTAGTCATCACCGCCAACTCTTGGGCTACTCTTTTACCAACGAATAGTGGGATTGGCCGCCACATTATAACGCATCCACGGCTGAAAGGGCGAGCATGTTTGGTGTGACGGGGATTCGAACCCACGACCCTAAGATTGCGAGTCGAGTGCCGTAACCACCTGGCCATGCCGGGCCCCGGAACAATGGTTCTACACTCTGGCACGATATTCACTGGTTCGCACTCAGCCCAAAATTGTTGTAAAAAATATCTAAATCTTTCTGTACAACATGCGAATTAGCTAGTAAGACGACAAATGGGACATCGGTTTTGTGCATAGAAATACTGAGTACAAGTCGAAGAAGATCATCAGTTTACTGTTTTAAGTTGCTGATAGTGTTTAAACCTAATTTGGTGTATGGTATTTAGTTTTGGTCGCCTTAGTTAAAGAAATTTGTTGGAGAGAGTTCAAAGAAGAGCTAATAGGATGATTCAAGGTTTGAAGAGGTTATTGTATGACGATAGTTTGAAATTGTTTAACATGTTTTTGCTAGAGAAGAGAATGATTTGAGAGGGGGTTATATGAGGTTTTTGAGACTGTTACAGATTTGGAATTTATAAATGCAGACATTTTCATAAAAACTTTTACACTCAGTAAGACTAGAGATTATATAAAAGTCGGATACAATTCATTCAGACAGTATTACTTTTCTAAACTGGTTCGGCTTATAAAATTGTTTTTATTCAAGTGTGGTAGAAGCTGCAACATTAAAGAAGATTGGGTGAATATTTTTTAGATCGAGGCTGGATTTAAGAAAAGGGGTTTCTTTATGCAGTTTGGAGTAGGATTTTAATAGAAAACGGGATAGTTCAGTTGGGCCAAAAAAGTCCCTTGTTAGTTTGTCATATATATATATGAAAATTAAATGAAATAAAGGTACTCTTACAAAGTAAATAAAATGTTTTAAAGATTGGGTCTGTTGTTATATCTCTGCCTATCAAGTAGAACTAGTATCATATACTCTCACCAGACGGCTGAGAAAGGGGAAATACTAGAATTCCTTTCATTGGTTATTTCCGAAATAAATAGCCAATGAAAATGATTTGTGGTTCCGGTGCATCCAGGAGGTGGACGTGCGTTGCAGAGTGTTATTATATTCAGTGTTAATGTCTTTGTGTTTGTGGGACTTGAGTTGAATAGTATTTCGGAAGTTTATTAACCTTCTATTAAATATCAGTTTTATCTCGTTTGTGAGGATTAATTTTTAATTACGTTGTTCGTTGAAACCCAATGAAAATTTTAAGGCTTAAAAACTACTTCAATTAATGCAATTAGGCTGTTTTAAATTTAGGAAATAAACAAAGTCTTTGTTTATTCCAATTTCAATTCCATAATATTATTAATGAATGACTTAGGCCTAAAATAACTAAATCTCGGTTTGATTTACACTGTAGATTATAGTATTTATTACTTCAGCAGCGTAATTAAGAAGTACTCTATGAACTTGGAAACCACAAAAAATAAAACTAGTCGGTATCATGATGATTGTGAAAGATCTAATACTAATAATAATAACAGCTTTAATAGTGTTATAATTAAAAAAAAATAGTAATGTTCTCTGTCTGAGATAAAGAAAAGTTGAATATTGTGAAATAGTCTTATTATCTTAGAACTAGAAGTAACGTAAAGGCTTGGTAATAAGTGTTAACATTGGGTCTCAAAACACCACAACAGCAACCAGCCAAACATCTGTATTTGTTGTTCAAAGTGGCTGAAAGTTGATATGGCAACACTTAGTGGATCTAGTGGCATTGTTTATCATCAACTGAAAGAAAGAAAAATCAAACAAGAAACTTGTGAAGAAAGTAATTGTTTACCTGTGTCTGCCCACCCTTCCAATATTAACAGTGATAGTAGTACCATGAATGGATTAGGTGCCCCAAATGTGCCAATAGTGAGTAGTTTTGATCCAACACAATGTGGAATGCTGAATCAGTTAGAACCATCATTTGCTGCAGAAGAAGAAGAATTACAAGAATCTCCTGAAATAGACATTGTGATAAACAATGTTGTTTGTAACTTTAATGTCCGATGTCACTTAAACTTACGGCAAATTGCACTCACTGGATCAAATGTGGAGTATCGGAGGGAAAATGGGGTAAGAAATTGTCTGTTTGACAGTTTTTGGTGTTACTTGTTAAAGTTTTTGATGCTGTTTTTTTTTTTTTTTCAAAATTGTAAAGAATGTGACCATCATTAAAAGTTGTTTCTTCATGATAAATTGTTCCTCATTAAGCAGCGATGAACATGGATGTACAGTACCAAACGTCTAATTTGACATTAAGTGTTTAAGATAGCAAATTTTTCATGTTTTCCTACACACAATACCATATTTCATGCTTCTTATTGTGGGTTATAACATGATGTTGGTTGCTACTTTAATTCACACGACTGCACAATACCCTTTCTAAAACTTATCATTCAGTGACGTTACTGAACATTCAGACTGATCTATAAGCTTTTTTTTAATAAAAAGGCTAAAATTAATATAAAAAAAATTAACTTCACTGTGAGATTTTACACAACTTAAATATAACTGTCAAAGTACCTTTATTAAACTGTTTTTTTTAATTGTATTTGTAATATAAGAAGAAGCAAAGAGATATACAGTCATTGAGTTCACTATTAATTAAATGTAGCCCTCCAGGTTAATATACCTAACCACTAAAAGTTCATATTTCCAGTATTTTCATTCCACCACTTGTACAGGTGAATATAATCTTATTGTTCATGTGCTCATACATCATAATAAAAGTAAATATAATGAGGCTATTTAGTCTACGGAGGTCAATCCTTATCCATAAAGTGAAATAACTAATATTAAAGGACTTTGACTTGTATTTAAACACCAAAAACTCATATGTAGCTCTTTACAACCATGTCTCTATGAAATTTTTTAAACATTTCTAATAACTGCACAAACTACATCACTATATATGCCATTATACAAATTTAAGTAAAAACATTTTCCTAACCAATTCTCTGCCATGTTTATAGATAACTTATAATGTCAGGTTTATTTTAAGATGCACAAAAAATGTGTATTGTTGCTTATTACTTTCCGTGTATCAACATAAAATTGCATTTGAGTTAACTACCTGAAATATTTCCCTAATGCTTATATTGCTAAGAACTGTTAATTAAAGTAATTATCTCCAGTATTTTCTAATTAACATGTGACATGTTTTTAATTATGAAAATGATTGGTTCTGTTTGTTCCATATAATGTCTGCCCATGGTAGTCTTCTAGAGGAATATGCACACACACTTTGTTAGTTCGGACATAGGCAATCGAGATACTTTTTTTCTGGTGGACACAATGTGATATATGATCAATAATCTGTATATTCTCAATCCAAATCTGAAAACTATTTCTTGTAGCAAACATGCATAGTCTTTGGATAGATGATTTAGGAATCAGTACTTCTAAAAGAGTAAAGTTGGGGTAGGTTTTAATAGGAAACAAAACAGAACCACAATGATTGTTTACCACAGGTTTTTTTAAAAACGACCTTCAAAATAGTGATTTATACTACAGTCATTTCAAAATGAAGACACATAGAAACATCAGTGAAATGGGAAGCTTGTTTATACAAGAAAGCGATGCATATATTAAATATTTTGTATTCTGTAAGCAAGTTGTTTGGTTAAACAAATTGATAATTTACATTAGGATAATGACATACTATCTCACTTTGATAATGCAATTTGTAGTATTACTGATGATATAAAAATTATAAACTGCTGAGTTTATTGTACATGAAATTGCATGTTTACCCTTACTAGTTTGCGTCATTACATTTATCAATTGAAAAAGCATGTTGTTAACAGTGTCCATTGTATTCAGTATAACTAATTTGACTGTGTAGGTGTCTCGCTATTCCAGAGTAACTATTTTAGTATAAGCATGTTTCAGATTAACGAGTTTTCACTGCATATAGGCTTTCAAGGCTTAAATCAGTTATCCTTGCATTCATGTTTGTATTTTCAACTTTATTTCACCATTCAGACATACAACACAGAAAAACTCTCCAAATGTTAACAGTTTTGAACACCTAAACCAAGTCTGACTCGTGCATTCTGACGGGTACAAAATCCCAGTCTAACCACACGTGTTAAAGTGAGAATCATTCTGAACATAGTCATTTAAACATCTGCTCACTAATGAGAGAAATTGGTAATAAACTAACTTGTAGAATAGCTAGGGGGAGCAAAGAGTTTGGAATAGATATTCAGAGCACAGGTTAAATAACAGTTTCAAAGATAAGACTTAAAGATAAATTTCGTAGGATCGAGAATAAGTTTAATTGCTTGTTATTTCTGATGTTGGGAACAAAAGTTTGATATAATGGGATTCACTGAAACTTTGTTAGATTTGGAGTTACAGGCTTTTTAATAATGATAGACTTTAAAAATGGGGTGGGTCTTTGTATCAGAGATGAACTATGGTTTGTTTGGATTGGGGGCATAAAAATGGTAGATAACATACTTTATGTATATGGATTAGAAATTGATCAGACAGGAGGAGTCTCTGAGAAATTGTATAATGAAATCAGGGTTGCTAATATTAAGGATAATGATGCAATAATTATCAGACATTGATTGCGATTGTATGGACTCAAATAGAGATGAAGATTTTTGGAAATGATTCAGGATGGTTTTCTATATCTCTTTGGGCAGAAAACTTACCAGGGTGAGGGTGTTATTTATTGGTTTTATTGTTAACCACTAATGAAGAGCTAAAGGGGATGCAGTTGGTGAAAGAGTGATCTTTACCTAATTAGGTTTAATATTTTGCTACATGTTGAAATAAAAAAAATAAACAAATTTTAGTTTCTAAATCCCAGAAAGCTCATTTTGAGGCCATGAGAAAAGATTTGTTATTAATGAGTCTAAGTGGGATGGAATTTACATGATGTAATACATACACAAGTGTGGGTTATGTTTGAAAATTATGGGATTATCACTTTCAAGTGGTTAAAAAAAAACAGTACAATAAGATTGTGTATTAATGAATCTAAGTGGGATGGAATTTACATGATGTAATACATACACAGGTGTGGGTTATATTTGAAAATTATGGGATTATCACTTTCAAGTGGTTAAAAAAAAAACAGTACAATAAGATTGTGTATTAATGAATCTAAGTTGGATGGAATTTACATGATGTAATACATACACAGGTGTGGGTTATGTTTGATAATTATGGGATTATCACTTTCAAGTGGTTAAAAAAAAACAGTACAGTAAGATTGTGTTATTAAGGGGTGAAAATAGTGAGTTGGGAGTAAAAATTAAGAATGAAACTCAAGAATTGGACAGAGTTGGGATACAAGTTGATATATGGGAGCATTCCCAAATGTATGGGAATGTATAATTTTGTTTTTCCAGGCCCTTAAATTTTATTTCAGTGTTTAAAAATTTGGGGAGTAATAATTAGCATTATGGAAGTTACAAATAATAATAATAAATGAATAAGCAGTGTTTCAGATGTTTAACATTTCACCTGCTCTCATTGAATCTTTATTAACTGCAGTTGTAGTGATGAGTAAACACTTAGAAAATTGGTTTGTTTTTGGAAGTAAATAAACTTAATTTTTACTGGTTAAATTGATACAAAAATACAGTTTGACATCATTTTACAATTTCTGATAAAATTCATCATCTTCATGATCTATTATTCTAGTGGATTAGTCTGTGTGTGTGTAATGATGATAAGGATAAAAGGAGGAGTTGTGGGGAACTGGTTACACAGTTTGTTGGATTGATCCCCAGTGAAAGTTTTGTAGCTGATACTGTACAGTTTTCTTCAACTTGTAACTTCTGAGGTCACCATTCACTGCCGAGCTAGGTCTCCCAAGTTTTAGGATTGTTAATATAACGATACTCTCAGAAATATCAGCCTTTTATCAGTCACTATCTGCTAGGCTAGAACCTTTAACCGGCAGCTAATATTCACTACAAGTTATCTGAATATTAATATTTTTATTCTTTTTTAACTTTTGGATAACTAACTATTTTTCATTAAAGATAAATTTTTAAAGTATATGTTATTTATTTTAAAAGTGCTACAAACCATTATTTTAGCAACATATGTTCAAAGTTTTTTAAGCTACTGTTGTATGTTTTATTGATTTGATAAACACTAGGAGTGATTTCTTTGTTTATTATTAGAAATTATGTTGGATAACACATGAACTTTTTCTACTATCTCATGAATAGGGGTGTGTGACTAATTTGATTAATCAATATAATCAGATACTTAGCATCAATTACACTTATTAGTGTTATGTAAAGTTATCAATTAATCAAAATTTCAATCTAATTGATTAACCCTTTCGCGACATGTTCGGGATAAAATACATGAGTTAAGTATATATGTACTATATCTTATAATGCAGTAAGTGTATCTTCACAAAATTTGGTAGACTTTTAATAAAGATTATGAGTCTTTCTTACACAAAAAATCACATATTTTAATGAAGTATTTTTATTATAGATTTGTTTGTGAAAGGATCGAGCCTGTTTTTTTTTTTTTTTCAGTCCAAGTGCGAAGTGATTAAAAAATACAATTGTTTGTCCCAAAAATCTCAAATATTATTTGTGTAATCTCTAAAACCTCTTAAATACATTTCAAATGTTTGTTTTCAGTAAAACTATATTTTTCTGTTATTTTCTCTACCCTAACTCTATGGGGATCTGTCAATTTGACCGGCCTCGTAACCACCATACAAAATTGGGAAATAAATATAAATTATGGCTTTTTTGTTCTAGTATGACTACAGATTATAACATGAAAACACAAATATTTCGTTCAAATAGCATAAATCTCATAACATTATACATTTGTGTATATTTATTGTTTTTATTGTATAGATCTTCCAGCCGTGCCTGGCTAACAATACAGAAGTTACAATGATGTGGTGCACGTGCATTAATGATATCTTATCCAATAATATAAAACTGATCTTTAGTCTTTACAAAATGACCTGTTTTGGTTGTGTTTTAGTGGACTAATATTTTGTAAAATACAGTCACATTTCAATTATTATACATTATATATTTATATAG